TAGCAAGACTAATAAGAAACTGATATATGTTTGTAATTTTTCTTTTTTTAATATTTATTTTTTAGCTTTAGGTGGACACAATATCTTTATTTTATTTTTATACGGTGCTGAGGATCGAACCCAGTGCCTCACGCATGCCAGGCGAATGCACTACTGCTTGAGCCTATATATCCCCAGCCCCTGTAATTTTTCTTATTTGTGTACTATTTGACCACTTGTAACAGGAATCATTAAAAGGATTACTTTTTATCTAGTAATCTTACTTTTGGAAATTTACCTCAGGGAAAGAATTTAAAGGAAAGAGAATCTCGTGGAGATCTTTTAAAACAGCATATTTATATAACAAAAAACATCAAAAGGAAAAACAGAAAAGCTTTGAAACCATCCCAAGTACCCACAATTATAGTGATGGTTGAAATATGGGGCATCCATTAAGTGTTGTAAAGTGTATGTTACCTAGAATCATGGAAGTTTACTTGTTAAATAATAAGTAAAACAATAGGATGCAAGATTTAATGTAGGCTCAACTTGCCAATTTGTGAAGATTGTTAATTCATAGCAACAGTCATTGTTTTAGTATAGAATAATTGGTAAAATTTACATTAAGTCATAAGTGTGAAGGAAAATTCATGATAGGATTTTCATTTGTGTAGTCATGTCCCCCAACAACCCAGAGACTCTAAAAATCCCCTAACAGGGCTGTGGGGATAACTCAGCCCTGCTAAAGACCCTGGGTTTTGGGTTTGGTCTGTAGCACTGCAGAAAACCCCTCACAGTTTACCTGTTGTGCATTTATGTTACAGTGCTTGTTTCAGTTTCTGGTAAATGTTTCTCAGAGTGGGGAACCTGGGAAGCCCAGCATTGCAGCAGTCTCCGTCAGCACCCAACACAGATCTGTTCTACAAATTAATGATACCCTGGAAGAGAAAGAAATTTGTAGGTTCGTTTTTGCTTTGATGTGATCTAACTGAAGTCTGAGTTTTCTCTCTACTTTTTTTCTTATGTGGTTTTGTTTTTACTCTCTTAAATATATTTTATATCTACTGATCTGTACCCAGAAAGGAATATCATTTTCCCTTGGTGAATTAAGAAAGTCCAACTCTGTCCCTAATCTAGCCATTTGTCATATTTTTATCTCATCCTTTTAGGCTGGAATACAAATTTGGAGAATTTGGAAACTATTCTGTCTTGGTAAAGGACACTTACAATGGAGTCAGTGAAATTGCGTGTGACCTAGTTGTTAATAAGAATCCAGTTGACAGTGACCTTCGTATGTATATGCTGTTCGTTGATWTTTTTTTTAATTTGCATTTCCGGAGGTTTTAGTTTTTGAGTACTCTTTGTAAATTGAAGCAGTCTATGGCATATAAATGAAAATCTGGCTTACAGATATCTATACCATTTAGTTTTGGWATGATTATATTTTTGTTTGGTGCTAGAAATAGAACCCTTAGGATTTGTGTTTGCTAGTAAGCACTTGTTATGCCTCCMAGCCCAATTGTAATATTTTTTATTGTGTCACTGATGGACACTAAGAAAATTAGGTGATATATTAAAAATTGTATAATATATCAACATATCCCCATATCATTATTAAGCTTAATTATGAATCATAAATAAATAAAAAATTAATTCAATGGAAAGAAGTAAGAAATAGGATAATTGGCTTTCCTTGTTTTAGGATTTAGGGTGTAGTGTTTCTTGTATGTGTCTACTGATAATGATCTCAGAGGTCCCCTTTACATTAAGAAGGGATTATTCATTCTATAATAATTCCATTGAAGAAAATCTGTCATCCTGAGCTCCCCCATTAGATAATTGTTCTCTTGCCTTTCAAGAGAAACTAATGAATCCCTGTGGCGCTAATATATACAGTTCACAGAGAAATATYGTAGACCAAAGTTATTGCAAAAGAATGTAGAAGACAATATGAAAGGACCAATATGGGACAATTTAAGCATTAAAAATAAAAATAAATGTCATTGATGAAAAATAATGGATACATAAAAACTAAGGGATCATTATGAAATTAGAGTGAGGCTCCCTCCCCAATTAAAAACAAAAACAAAGTAATACTCTGGTTGTCTTTAGAGGTTACTAGAGCACTTGTGTTGACTAGGGTGATTTAAAAGTATCGGTTGAAAGGAAAGATTTAAACATTATCCTGTTTTAACTATAATTGGAAAAGATAACCAAATTGTACTAATTGATGAGCATGGCTTCTTTTTAGAATCCCAGCTAATGTGGTCGAATGGTAGGTTATTTTGCAAGCCCTAATGAAATAATTTTGCAAAAATCCTCAGATGAAACGGGAACTTTACACTGGAGGGATCAGGCTTTCACCAGCTCAACACATCTCCAGTCACATGGTCAATTGCAGAAGGTGCTTCTTCAGTACTAGAAAATTATTGTAAAATTTTGTAACACATTGTGGTTATATTAAGGAAATAGTTCATTTTAAAGAAACTTTTGATTTTCAAATAGTTTTAGGTTACAAACATGTTGCAAACAAAACAAAACAACTCCTAAATACCCTTTACCTGGCTGCCCTTATACCCTTAAACTGTATAATCATAGTAAGAGTAGTTCATGTGCAATTATTGAAACCAGGTGCTTAACATTCTTATAATACTGATCTATTTAGGCTTATTTAAATTTTTCAAATTGTCCCTTTTGATGTCCATTTTCTGGTCCAGGATCCAATCTAGGATCCATGTGCATTTAGTTGTCAGTTCTTCCTTCATCTTATTCAATCTAGGACAGTTTCTTAGCCTTTCCTTTTCTTTCATGATCTTGACAGTTTTGAAGAGTACTGGCTAGTATTTTATAGATTGTCCCTGGATTTGGAGTAACTTGATGTTTTCTCATGAGTAGGTAAAGGTTTTGCATTTTTTGGTAGAATACTACCAGAGCGATGTTGTCACCTTTTAGGTATGTTATGTCAGCAAGTTCATGAGGTTGATGTCTTGTACAGGTTTATTTGCATTAGAGGTACATACTGAATGCATACTGAATACTGTAGGGGTATAGGGACGTGATGTCTGGGATTGATTTTAAAATAGATTACCCCCCCCAAAAAAGGGAGGAGAGTTAGTAATAGATGAAGAGAATGATATCTTTTTCTTTTTCTTTTTCTTTTTTTGTTTTCTTTTTGCAGTACTGGGGATGGAACCCAGGTCTCACTCTTGCTAAGCAAGTGCTCTGCCACTGAGCTAACCCCCAGTCCTGAGAGTAAATATCTTGACAATGCTAGAATTTGAGTGGTAGATATATATGGTTTTATTCTACAATTCCCTGTAATTTGTGTATGTTTGATATTTTTCATAATAAAAATTAGTACTCCCCTCACGCAGAGTAGTTCCTTGTTTATTGGAAATTTAATATAAGAATGTAGGCTTTTCCTATATTGTTTTCATTTTTAATTGATAGGTTAGATGTAATGATGTGACAACTTTGGTTCCTATGATGACATTTTTGGTGATAATGTTTTTCTTTTTATAGCTGTGACTATTGCSTTCCTTATTGGTCTGTCCCTCGTCATTGCAATATCCTTCCTAAGGCTGTTGCTGAGGTAAGTTGTTGGAGAAGAAATGACTGTGGAGGGCAGAACACAGAGATAATATATTCAGAAAGGATAGTTTGATCCCTCAAATGACTATTATTTCATCCTAGCAGAGTCTCTAAAAGCATACAAACATGAACATTATTATTTGATTAAGTGAACATTTGTGTGTCCAATCCCAGGCATTAAAATCAGTGTAGACTAAGACATGTTCTCTGTAAGGACATTTTGACAAAAGTTCTCATGAATGTTTGCCTTCTATCCTCCCACATGGCCAAAAACAAAGAAAACACTTGAGTAATATTTTTTTTTTTCCTAAATAATCTCCCTTCCTGCTTTTCAGTGAGTGAAAGTGGCTTGTGATAATTTTAGGAGGAGGCTGCTGTGTTGTGCTCTCTTCCTCCTCTTAGYCTCTGAACCCTGAGGCCATCCCTCTGTCCAACTTTCCTTTCCTCTCCCAGCCCAGGAACTGGGGGCAAAGAGGGAGGATGAGGGGCTGTACTTCAGAATCCCACAGACTCCCATTTGTAGAGTTGCTCACT